CGCTCTTACGGGTACGGTTGGAAGATTACGAGACCACAGTCGACACCGGGCAACAAAATCGCGTATAATTTTAGCCTGAAACAACCTGTGCCCCGTGCTCCACGTAGTCCTTACACCCGTATAAACTGATACCATATTATTAATTACTATTAACTACAGAATGATGTTTGTATTAAAATCTAATATTCTGTTTTGACATTTTTCTATGACAAAATTCAGAACATTAATAATATATTATACAAATGAAAAAAATATATACTATGTCTAATTTGTTTAAAAAACATATTCCTCTTACTAAATTTTTAAGTGAGGCACCGCCTCACTTGCCTCACCCCCAAAACCGCCTCTGATCGTTACGCGATTTTATAAAAATTTAAAACTAAAATGCTCAAAACATTTTTCCTATAATGACGCTTCAAATGTTCTCTATAAATATCTCAAAAAAAGTCAAAGTATTTTGAAAATTAAACTGTATATAGATAACACTAACATAAACATTTGGTGAAAACTTCAAGTAATTACGTGATTAGTTTTTGAATTACAACCATATAAATTAATCGATTTGGTCGAAAACTGGTTTTACGTAAAAATTCCCGTTTTTCTGTCAATTTTTTGTTTGTTTTACTCGATTTTTTTGAAAACTGTTGGAAAATGTTTACTTTTGACCTCTATAATGCACCAAGGATATTCACTTTCACATCAGAAACCACCCCTAAAGTTTGAATTTGAAGCATTATTTCGACTAGTTATGCTGTACACACACAAAAAAAAAAACACACATCATTGTAAAATCAATACATTCATCACTCCGTTCAGAATCTAAAATAAAAATACATCCCTTATAAACTATGAACATTGAACATTATTCAAAATAAACTAAGACACTCGATATGTATTTTAAAATATTTGTTTTTAACATTGTTGATAAGTATGCATAATGATAGTGATACCTTAATGTGACCGTTAATCTTTCTTCGGCACTTATCGGGTTACGTAAATGGGTAATCTCTTTAGTAATTTTTGGCCTCACTTTTTCTAACAGCTCTTCAAATGAAATAATCGACATACGGTAATAATCAAAAAATTATTCTGGATATTTTTTTATTTCATTGAAAAAGATTGTAAATCGCATATCACTTTCTCGACTACTATGAAGTGGATGGACCCAGTATCGCCCACGTTTAGATTGCAATGGTTCATCAAGTTCACCTGCAGCTTCGGCCAAACAAAGAATTTCCGCAAGAAAACTCATTTTTAAAGGAATTCTATATTCAATATTCATTTATATTAAATTATATTTTAAAAAGTATATTGTATTGTATTGTGACACAAAATTTAAAAACTTACCTGAATTTTATTTAAATATGTATTTAAAAACATTAGCGTTTTTTGAATAATTTAGAATCTATTGAAAATCAACACATCCAAACACTTTTACAGCAGATGGTGAACTACAGCATACTTAGTACCCATAAACAAATTACTTTCTAATATTTAACATAACAATAACATAAAAGTTTGCCATACAAATTTAACCATTTCGTCGAAATCAAATCCTTTATATTATATTCTAAATAAATAATTCTTATTAATCTTTAGCAGTACCTAGTAGTAATAATATAGTAATTTGTACAAGCTTAATTTCGATGAAATCAAACATAAACTAGTTTAATATTAATTGCAATAACATATTATTTTAAATTAAAATATTTCCCTCGCTTTTTAAATCGGCAACCGATAAAACGCGTAGTGTGGTCGGTCTTCTCGCTTGCGGTTAATCGGGATACATTTTATCGGCAACCGACAAAACGCATAGTGTGATCCGGCACTAACTCAATATTCTTACGAAACAACGACAATAAGCGCGATAATTACAGCAGCTAGGACAGGGATACTTCATCCAAGTTTAATAACACCACGAGAATTAGCAAAACATCTAACAGAAATCAAATTAAAACTACCTATAAATTTAAATTTGCCAATGGGCACGGACCCAAGTGAAATTTACGAACTAAGTAAAATAACAAAAATGGCAGTATTTTATAGCGGGGATAATATTGCGTTTGTAATAAAAATACCTTTAGTAACCGAATTGGAACATTTGGAACTAACACTATACAAAATATTACCAATACCTCACCCAATAGAAATAAAAACTAACGGAATAATCGATACAAAGCATAGTATAATTATTAAACCAGAATTTCAATATGTAGGCATTACCAAAAATCGTAAACARTACACTACGTTCACGGAAACACAGTTACTGCAATKTACCGAAACAGAACTTTTTACTATTTGTCCCGAATTTCAACCTATTCAACACGAATCAGTTAAGCAACCATGCGAAATTTCATTATTTAAAAATCCAGATACATTACCGAGTAGTTGTGAAACAGGAATAGTAATATTATCAAAAAACGTTTTTCATAAATTAAAATATGTAAATGTATGGATATACACAACAAACGGGGACTTTAACAATTGCTTGTCAAGGGATAAACGAACCATATATAGTTAAAATTAAAAAYCAAGGGTTAATTAAATTAAACCAAAATTGTAGAGCTTATGGTGAAAACATTATTTTAAATCCAACTAGAGACATAAGATCAAAATATTATGTTAATTTCATACCACAGATAGGTACGGGAAAGTTAACATTCGAGATACCTGATAAAATAAAAACCTACCAGACATGAAATTTACTTACGACACAAATAAATTACGTACGTGACCCCAGCCCCCCCACATCGGATATTTCAAATTATTTTTTGGCAAACAATTAGCATGTAATTAGCATGTATTTGCATGCTAACTTTTGTAATTTGCATGCGCCTTAATTAGGCGTGGGATCAAAAAATAGGTGGGGGGGGCTGTAGACACGTGTCTCCGACCCCCCCACCCATCGAAATCACTTATTTTCAAATTTTTTTCTAGTCCAATATTTAGCATGTAATTAGCATGTATTTGCAAGCTTGGTCCCGAAACTCTACCGTCATTCGTTGGTTTGCAAAATCCGGTTTTCTAATTTGCTCGTGTCCCCAGCCCCCCACTACTCGAAATAACTGGAACGGCATAATCGCTTCTACGCCAATATTTAGCATGTAATTAGCATGTATTTGCACGCTTGGTCCCGAAACTCTACCGTCATTCGTTGGTTCGCAAAATCCGTTTTTCTAATTTGCACGTGTYCCCAGCCCCCCCACTACTCGAAATAACTGGAACGGCATAATCGCTTCTACGCCAATATGTAGCAATGCAGCTATTTTCTCAAATATCGATTTGTTTATTATAACTATTTATCTAAAACTACGAATTTGATAATTTAGTTTTCTAAATTCAAATAGTTGTTTAAATTGGTTAATTTTCAATTATCATTGTAGAAA